TTTTTTTTTTTTGGCATATCATGTGCATGGCTCCTAATGTGTGTACATGGACTTGTTTTCCACCTCAGGCCACCCCTTCATTAAGACTGTGGGTTGTGTGGCTGGGGACGAGGAGACCTATGAGGTGTTCAAGGAGCTGCTGGACCCTGTTATTCAGGACCGACATGGAGGATACAAACCCACAGACAAACACAAGACCAACCTCAATCCCAATAACCTCAAGGTATGAAGTTGAAGGGATAGATGACCCAAAAAATTATTCTGTCATTTACTCGCCATCATGTCGTTCCAAAAGTGTTTTGACATTTTCTTCTGCAGAACATTACCAAAGATATTTTGAAGAATGTTTTTGTCCACATAATTAAAGTCAGCGGGGTCCAAAACAACTCACTGATCACTAATATTTGGTACAGTGATATCGCTTGTTTAAAGACTAAATCTTTCTGTTTCTGTAGGGCGGTGATGATCTGGATGCCAACTACGTGTTGAGCTGTCGCGTCAGAACAGGCAGGAGTATCCGCGGATTAGGCCTGCCGCCCCACTGCAGTCGTGGGGAGCGAAGAGCTGTTGAGAAGCTCTCAGTGGAAGGTATGTCTCTGCAGCACACTTTTCTTCTCCACAAACGGGGCGTAGTATAAGTAGGCAAAATAAGTAGTATTTAGCTTGCTGAAGCGTAGGCCTGGTCATATGGCTCCCTCTTGTGGTGATGAGTATTGTTCGCTATGACTGGACCAACATAAATATTCCTTAGACATTTTAATCTGTTCTCTATGATATTTCTTAAGAAATCATTTATTTGAAATCAAACAAACAAAAAAGATACAGGATTTACTCACAGATTGGTTTGATCTGTCTGTAGCTCTGGGTGCCCTGACTGGGGATCTCAAAGGAAAATATTACGCCCTGAAAAACATGACAGAGGCTGAGCAGCAGCAGCTCATCGATGACCATTTCCTGTTTGACAAGCCTGTGTCTCCCCTGCTGCTGGCCTCAGGGATGGCTCGTGATTGGCCTGACGCCAGGGGCATCTGGTCAGTGTTCAGGATTAATGCACTGCTTGTGCTACTTTTGAAGGGTTTTTTTATTTTAGAGAAGTAACCTACTTCCTGTCAGTTTGTTCCAGATTCTTCAAATACAGGTAGCACCAGCCACCAGCAGAAGATTCTTAATTGTTTGGTTTTGAGTACTGACTTGACATTAATAGAATTTTGGGTGAAACTACATTATATTTTTGATCTGAAATTTTATTCCAGCTTTATAGCTTATTTTAGGGTTTCCTTCTTGCAGTGAAATTATACATTTAAATTCGGAGTAATATTAATTAACTTGTACTTAATATAGGTTTAGAATTAGGGTTTGGTTTAGGGTTAGTTACATGTAATTATGCATAATTTACTGTAATAAGTAAATGTAATGTGTAGCACAGATGCTGTAAGTGATTATTGTTCTAGTTAATTCTAGGTAAGTATTGCATTTCTGTGCTGGTCATAGAAGATATTCCCTCACTTATTTTCTCCTCATCTCCAGGCACAATGATAACAAGACATTCCTTGTGTGGGTGAATGAGGAGGACCACCTGCGTGTCATCTCCATGCAGAAAGGTGGCAACATGAAGGAGGTCTTCAACCGTTTCTGCACCGGTCTCTCTAAGGTATTACATCACTGATACTAAAAGCCCATCCACACCAAGAACGATAACTATGTTAGTGCCCATACTAATGCACAATAATGTTCTGTTTATTATAAGCGTGTTGCAGTTATGCAGCTTTAATATCTCAAACTCTTTAATATCTCAAGTGGATGATTGGCTGTCAAAGTTTTTTATCATTCATGAGCTGGAAAACGTTTTGAAAGTGATAGTTCACAACAATTCAAAGTTGGTTTAGAGTTGACAAAACCAAACAAATCCGGTTTAGATCAGTTTCAGCAGGTTCACAACACCCGCTATAAACCTCCTTTTAAAAGCCTTATATAAGCTTGTATTCATATGTATTTGCATTCATTTATCATAAAATTTAAAGATGAATATTGTCAAAATGTAACGCGGTAAGGATATAAAATATTAATTCATATAAAGTACATTATAAACCAGGCAATTTCATCTAAAATTATTCAGGCAAGTGCTTTAATTTGGAACAAAACTTTATTGTATCAGATATGTACAGTGGCCGAGAGAGCTCAATGTGCTGCAAATGGAAAAAAAACGCATGCAAATAGAAAAAACACCAGCAAAATAAGGAAACATCTTCATTAGTTTGACAACACATGCGCTACAAATACTCACAATGCGACCAAATACAGAAATGTGCTGCAAATACGCACCGATCACATCGGAAATGTTTAAGGGAACCGTAACAAGTGACTAAGCTGGCTGGGACATGCTTATCAATGTCTGCTATAAAAGGTGTGATTTTTGTTTATTTTAACATCCTGATCATATGATTCCTTAGCTTTTTTTGGATGTTATTAGCCTAAATAAGCTGACGAAATACACAATTACTGTGTAATTGTGCAACTGCGAAACGTTATGTAAGCTGGCTAACTTTTACAACTTCCTTTATGAAAATTAACCATGGTTTTATTATTAAACTTTATTATTAGATATGTCACTTTGCTCGCATCTAATTGGTCCAAATGTGAGCAAATCCATCTTCCTGGACCTAAAAGTCCAGAGTTTAAGCTCAATGCAAACTTAAATATTTAGCCACTGAAACTGGCTTCATGAAATATGCCACATATCATTCCGGTGTCATTATCATTGTTATTCTTTGTCATAAATGTGCTTGATCTTATTTCTGGTGGATGCAAGACACTTCAGATAGCTAAGGGTTTGAACAGAGCCGCAAGAAACACTTAACTGATTGTTTGTCCTTTCAGATTGAGGAGTTGTTCAAAAACAAGGGACAAGAGTTCATGTGGAACGAGCATCTTGGCTACGTCCTCACCTGCCCATCCAACCTCGGCACAGGCCTGCGTGCAGGAGTGCACGTCAAACTGCCTAATCTCAGCAAATACCGCCAGTTTGAGGAGATCCTCAAGAGACTGAGGCTGCAGAAACGTGGAACAGGTAGGAACCGAAACGATTTAAGCTACAGTAGATTTAAACAGCTGATACTGAGTGTCATGAACAGAAATATAGTGTAAACCGATGCCAAGTAACTAAGTGGTGTCTTGTTCATTAGGTGGTGTAGACACTGCGGCTGTGGGTGGTGTTTTTGACATCTCCAACGCTGACCGCCTGGGCTTCTCTGAGGTGGAGCTGGTGCAGATGCTGGTGGATGGTCTCAAACTGCTGATAGAGATGGAGAAACGGCTAGAGAAAGGCCAGGCCATTGAGGACCTCATGCCTGCCCAAAAGTAGACTCAC